GTGGTATCACTGGTCACACATTTTTCGCATCCTTTCGTCGTTGTCGTCTGTCTCACTCTCGCTGTGGTTGTACGAGTATGATTGTGAATTTGCATGTTCGGGTACACCTAGACTGAGGATCTTCGTGGCGAACAGTTGTGCATGTTCTTTGCGAGCTGAATTTTTAAACAGATGCTTTTAATTAAAAATCACATTCTACATGTCTCAATTTATTGACCAGTGACTGACGGATGAATCAATTCGTGTCCCTGTTTTTCTCTCGTCACTTTGCGTGTTCAAACTTGTAGTTGTGTGCACCTACGTACATGACTCGCTTGTCGGTTGATTCCTTACAATCTGGACACAGATGAACCCTGTTTCCATCCTCCATGTTGTCCATACAACTCGATTGAGCAGCTAGACGTGTAATGCACTCACAATATTCGGCCAGATGTTACTTGCAGGTTGGTTTAGCGATGCAGCTAGTCGGCTTCCATGATGGGCATATATGCGTGCACGTAGTTGTGTGCCCCATTGGATGGAGATGTGTTCCGTTCTGCCCATGGTGAAAATGCTAACCTGTGTGTTCGTTTGTTGATGATGATTATGAGTTTTATTGTAACTTGAATCTCCGTGAATTTCATCAAATCGACATCTGCGTTTAGCAGTGAACCAAAAAGACTAGCGGAGATGAGATTCCGATTGTCGAGACCCACTTCGTGATTTTTTAAAGCGTGCAATTATAGTTGATTCGCTAAACACTATTGAATCCGAAAATAGGTTGGGACTATTGAAATTTCGGCTGGAATAGAGCTAAACATAGATTGGTGCAAACCCTTTTTTTCGGTATGCGACATGCTAAGATTTTAAAACAATGCAGTTCTTTAATCAACACAATGAAAATTGTTTGAGATGAAATCCCGATGTACTAGTTGTCAAAGAACGCTGAACAGGTGTTTCGTTTTTGTTAGGACGCGTTATCAATGCCATAATACGGATCACTACCCTTCGGATAAGGAGCCGAAAGATACCTTTTCCTTCTTGACCACATACTCGACAGTCAACACGTTGAATGCATGTCTTTATAAAGGCGGATTAGGCAATGTTAATTATGCTAGCATTGTGAGATAGAACATCTTACAAAAGTGACAGTATTCTCTCAGTTCTTTGAGCTGATCATGAAGTGAACTATCAACGGCAGTGTCAGTGATAGTGGTGGTAAGTGTGACGTTTAGTCTTGGAAACTAACTGAAATCGATCTGGTGGGAAAGAGGGAAGGATACAACATATCTAAATTCGTAGACAAGAATGAAGTATGAAACTGAATAATATCAGTGAAAGTCATGAACAGTGGCTCGCAAATGATTCATCGGATTTACTTACTACAGTTAGGGGATTAAGATTCATGACCTTCTGGCTTTCTGCTACAGCATACATTTTGTATCCACTTGCAGTTGAAAAAAATAAAGATTTGAAAGAAGTAAAGCAAGAGTTAAAACGGAAATAGGAACAGACAAAACCGAACTTGTTGCACTAGACTACTGCATTCCTTTAACTACTCATCATCATGTGATGAACAGCAGAGAGCGAAGCTTATGGTCCTTCGGGCCTACTGTTCCATCACTTGAACCGGGCATCACGCACTTATGCTAGTCTTTGATGACAGCGACAAAAGCAAGGTGTGATAAATAGCAGATAATAATGTGGCTAGTTTTGGGTGAGGGAGGTTAGCAAAGCATTGTTCGTTCCTTGTCATTTTGAATTTTAGTTTTTGGGTGACTGGGGGTCACAAACGTATGAAAACGCATTCCTGCCTTCGAATTCGTTTCAATACTGAATCGGGAACGGCGTTCAGCCTAGGCTAAACTGAGTCTTTGTGGCACCAGCCTGGTAGTCAAAGTCGAACACAGTTTCTTCCACTGTTGTGTAATGTCTGGAAGTAAACCATTGTAGGGCAGACATTGCCCCGACATTCGTTGGCCGTATCCCAGTCGTCTTAAATGTAGCAAAATAATCTTTCCTCGCAATCCCTGTGCCCTATCATTTGTCATCTGACTTTGTCGTTACTACTGCGATGCGTTCAACCTACTCGGGCGATGTTACGCATACTACGATTGTCGAAAAACAAGTGTTTGTTTATGGTCTGCTGGAAGGTGCTAACTTCTGCTTCGACGGAGTCACGCAACACGTACTGTTGCGCCACACACCTTTTCAGTGAAAGAATAATGTCGCACTGACGAATTGGAGGGTTCTCTCAATCACACCTCCGTCAGCCGTTATGCTACTCTCATGGTAGAAGAAGTTTTCACTCATTTTTCGCCTGTCAGTACCCAGCAACATGCAAATACGGATTTATGCTAATCTTTTAGTATTACATAGAGCTTTGATTTTGTGCGGCATGTGTTGTATTGAACAACGACTTGGAGCGTCTCGCATCCCCTGTGACTTGTCACTGTTGAAAGCAGTATATGAACATAAATCGCGAGCATATCAGTCCGAAAATTACATTCCTGGAGGAGAGACACACAATGCGGACGAAAAATGTGACACGAGCGTGCGCCATTATTTTGGTAACGTGTTAGTAGAAGAAGCCTGGATCGACTGTCCAGTTTTATTCTCCACTATTTGTCATGTGATGACGGCAGGAAGGCGGAAAATGTTTCGAGTAGCAATATACTTTTGTCATACTCGATACTACACTCACCTTATGCAGTTCGAACACCGCGAACCGGGTAATCCTCAAATGAGGAAAATCCCCCAGATAGTGCAATGTATATTAAATATATAATATTATATTTCACATTTGTCTGAGGACAGACTGTGTGCCAAACAAATTAAGGTACAATGATCTTTATAAAAAGGAAAATGTTCCATGATTGGCTCGTGGGCTGAGTAATGCCAGGTTGCCAAGGCCAAAGCAGGTGAATTTTCTTGAGGAATCCACAACCGCAGCCTTCAGCTAACCAAAGCCTGACCTGCAAGACAGCGGGACAGTGTGCGAAAACCGTAATCCATTGGGAGCCGGTGTCCAGTTCATCGGATCATACGCCCTTCGGACGGGGTCAGACGTCCAAGGTGCCCAATACACCTCAATGCCAAATTGAGCCGGTGACCACTGCGACAACCAAGAAGTTGTGTGTGGTTCGTACACCTCTTGGTTGGTTTGGAATCAAGGTCTTCGGCCAACTCCCCTAGGTGAACTGCCAGTGGTCCACCAACCCGGTTATAGCCCCGTATGTCGGCTTTTTGTTCTCTCACTTTGGTGGGAAAACACCCGCGACGAGAAGGCAGTGATTAGGAATTCCTCAGCAGAGGC